AAAAAATATTGGCGAAGACACTTTGCCTTCTTCACCTCCTATTGTTGATGCTGCTGCTACTGTTGCTATTGCTACTGCTGAAGTGAAGATTGAAGAAGGTGAGATTTTGGTTAAGGCTTTGCAGAAAACTACAGAGCCGTCTTCTCAAAGATTTGTTGCTGAAACTCCACCAGGAACTGCTGGAGATGTTGGTGCTACTCTTCATGTTGCCTCGCCTCCCCAAATTATTTTGCAAGATACTGATTTAGGAGGTGGGCCTATGGAGACCGATGCTCCAAGAGTTAAAGCTCACAAGGGTAAGGGTCCTACTACCGTTACCCTTTGATTTTGATGATGATATCTTTGACGAAGAGGCCAAAAATGCTTGTGCTTCTCGTCTTACCGAGTCTACTATTAATGTAAATACTGGTGAAAAAGTTGCATATCAACTCAGAGAAGGGTGTTTCTACGGGTAAGTTTGTTTTGTTTTTTTTTTGCGCCTGTTTTTTACTTTTGACTTTGATTATTGACTTACTAACTTTTGACTTGTCTTTTCTGTGCAGAGGAATTTTTCCCGGACCCTTGGTCTCAAAGAGAGACGACTGTGGATGTTTGGAAAATGAAAGAGGTGGCTCAAGAGCCTGCTATTCCAGCTGAAGCTTTAGAAACTATTTCTGATGGAGTGGACCCAGAGGCATACAAACGTTGTTTGGAGTACTGCCAAGCTCAAGGTGTGAATTTAGACACTTTCAAATTTATTGGGATTGGCTTGGACAAACTTCGTATTATGTCAAAGAAGCCAGAATTAAAGTTGACAAGGTGCATTGATGATGCCTTCGTAGTTTCTAACGTGGAGGCTGAACTTGTTGGTAAATCTTCCCTTGAGTTGGCAGACGCTAGTGTTACCATGATTTACAAGGTTTGTATATTTTTGTCAGACGTCATATGTAACTTTGGCTTAAACTTTTTATGTTGATTTACAAATGTTTCTTTGTATGTTTTGACTTCGTGTGTATATATATATATTGATGTTATATTTTTGTAGAATGCTCTTTTGCAAAGGAGTTTGCGTAAATCTCTTGAAGAAGCTTGAGGAAAGTTCTCAAGAAAAGTTTGCTTGAGGAGATCAAATCTTTGAAGTCTCCACTTACTGCTAAAGAAAAAGAGAGACTAGAGACAGTTGAAGCTCTTCATGATATGGAGTCAAAATGTATCTCTGATGAAGCTAAGCTTGAGGCCAAGACTGAAGATTTTGAGAATTTAAAAAAAGATCTTGATAAGATTGTGAAGGAGAAAAAATATCTTGAGAAGAAGTCTGCCGAGAAAGATCAAAATTTTCATGATAAGTGCAATCGCATATGGGAACTTTACAAAAAATGCTATGACAAGTTTGGAGCGAAGCCAGAAGATCCTTTTTGGGAGCTTGGAGAGTTTGATCCATTTTTTGCTTGGTTGTGCCATCAGTGTGATGATTTGCCAACTGTTATTCAGACTAGTGCTGATTTGAGTTGTGTTTATGCAACTCGCACTTTTCCACTTAATGATAGAGGCAAAAGATCCCTCGTTGTATGAACAAATGTTGCCGCTGACACCCGCTTCCAGGTGAGGCTCCGCGCCCAGCTTGTATACCTGGGCGACCGCTACATCGGCGAGGTGTTCGTGCCCATCGACGACCTCCTGGCCGGCGCCGACAAGGGTGGCGATCCGAGGCCCTTGAGCTACCAGGTGCGCAGGCCGCACTCTGGCCGCGCCCACGGCGTCCTCTACTTCTGCTATAAGGTCACTGACGTCCCCGCGGCCGCGTGTCCCGGAACCGGAAGGCAAACAAGGCAAGTACGCCAAGTACGTGCAGGACTCCAAGAACACGACGGACAAGACGATGGTGCCGCCCACCGTGTACCCACCGCCGCAATATGGCTCGCCGTATGCGGCGTACCCGCCGCAGCCTTATGCGTACGCTGCTCCGCCACCGTACGGGTACAATGCTGCTACCCCACAACCGGCGATGTACGGCTACGCCGCGCAGCCGGTGGCTGCACCCGCGAGGCATGGCGGAGGCATGGGGATGCGGCTGGGCAATATGGCGGAGGCATGGCGGTCGGCGGGATGATGCTCGGAGAGGCGATCGGTGACTATAAGGCCGACGCCGCCTATGATGCCCGGTTCAACGATGCGTTGGTATTTTAGATCTTGCCGTGCAGTCATGGAGATTATTGTCCATGTAAATCTCTAATTCATACGAAACGATGAAATAGAATTTGCATGTTTTGCTGCTCTTCTCAGTTTGCAAGGGTACATTACAATAATTCTTAGCTAATGCGCATGCATTTGGGACGTGAGCTAACAAATGCTTTATAGTAAATGCATCAATGACAAAACTACATCTTCTCTATTTCTTCTACTATAATGGACCAATCAAAATTATACTAAGTACACCTAAGATTGAGAGAGTCCAACCATTGTGCACCAGAGAAATGCACCAAACAAATCGTCTAGTTTTAAAATCAAGGGCTATCTTCAAACCAAATCCTGTGGCCACGATCGCTTGAGGCTTCAATGTAGGCTTCAAACGCGCGGCACCCCACCGTCCCCACATGCCCTCCGCCAGATGGAGGCCTCTGCAGCTGGGATCGAATCCCCGCCATGCTCCATCATGCCTCTTTTATTTTGTTCCGAAAAACAAAAGGGAAATCGTTCCCCACCCCCTCTCCCCACCGCCGCTGCCGCTAGTCGAGCGTTGGCGTCTCGGCCATCCTCCTGCCATCCAACCACCCTCTCGTCCGGAGCTGATGCCACGGCCCCGCGGGATGCCGAGGGGGCGGACGCTGCCATAGCCTTGACGCACGGGCTGACGCACGGGCGCCACCAGCCTCGATGCATGGGGCCTTGATGTGGGGATGGGAGGCATTGCTATGGCCTCAACGCGTCAGCTGCCGAGGGGGCGGGTGCCGCCACAACCTCGACGCGTGACCCTGGAACCTCCGCACCTGCTGTTCCGCCATCGTCACGCCACTGGCGTCGAGATCGGACGCCGCGGCCCGCTGGGAAGGCACCCGCGTCGGCGGGTGGAGGGCACCTGCCGCAGCCACTCTCACCAAGGACTTTGTCGCCTTGCCTCCATCTTCTTCCAGGCCCATCTTCTTTCGATCGAGTCTCCTCTCATCTTACATTCTTACCGGGGTGTTTTGTGTTGTTGTAGGATTTGGCGCCGACAGATGTGGCGCAGTTCGAGAAGGATGAGATTTTAGTCATTGTCTTCGACCATGGACCTACCTGCCCCTCGGTGAGGGCTTGCTCACCATGGACTTCACCGTGACGCTCAATGATCAGATGAAGGGCTTCTACTCCTCTGATACTGTTCATGATTTGGTAGTTCCTGGCTTCCAGCAACTACGAACACTTGATTCACTCACTGGAGATGATGTATCGTTGATTTGTAGCCCAGATAAGCTACAGGATAATTAGATTTTAATTATGGTTTCTCCTACAATGTCGCTACCGATGCGTATTGTTCGTCTGTACCCTGAAAAACAGTTTGATTTAGAACCCTGAAATTGTTTATATATTGTTAAACAACCATCAAACAATAGTTTACAAAGCAGCCAAAATCCATCCCCACCTAGACATTATTAATTTGTAAAGCATTGTGACTTAAATCATGAATTTTCTATGATCTGAACCTTTATGATTTAATAATCATGAAGCATGGACTGTTACTAGCATGCATGCTTATTTGACTAACTCTTGCAGCCTGTTAGCAGCTGCATCTATACATGATTCTGCTTCCTATCCATTTCTAGATAATTTTGATAAGAATAAATTTTATCATGTCCTCTACAATTTGTATGTCGTTATTGGATCAGAAATTTTTCTTTCAGGCATGCAGGAACAGAAGAGATGCTTTCTTTTTCTCAAGTTAGTGATTACAGAACATTGACAAGCTGACTCAATTGAGATGAATATATATAGTGATCTGTCTTCATACTATGTTGGTACATGATTTCGAGTAAACATGTATTGAGATGTGTGAGCCTCAGTGCTAGATTCCATGTTGAAATTGCGTCAACCACAACACCTAAAGCCTTCATAGCCATTTGAAAATTTAGAATTTTCAAACTATCTCAGATGTTGACACCGTGTACACAAAAGTTATAGATGTCGATACAATCTATAACTTTGTAGTTAACAAGTTTTAAATTTGAAGTCATTTAAATTCTTAAATTTCAAATGGCATTGGACATTGACATAATCTATACCAAAGATGCAGTTGTAAACTTAATCTACAACTTTACAATAGACAAGTTTTTTAATTGAAAATATATATTATTCCAGATATATTTATGTTTCAAAATTCTTAGATTTTGTAAATTTTCAAACTATCATGGTTGGACAGACACCCTTTATCAAATTTATTTAGCTTGAAATATCTAAAACTTTGTAATTGAAACTTTTTTTATTTGAAACCACTCAGAGGCTGAAATATTCAATATAATATTACCAAATGCTGATAAAGAAGATAGGTCAAGCAGCATATATACTCAGAAATGAGTATGTATTGAGGCGTTGTATTGAGGCGGTAGAGATGTGTTATATGCGCTGAAGGTTATAAGAGACCATTTGATAAAGGTGGTCGGGCATCTATGTAAATAAAAAACACCTATGGCCCCGTTCGCTTCGTTTTATAATCCGTATTTTTCAGCTTGTTTTTTCAACCGGAATAGTATTTTTCTCTCCCAACAAATCAGCCGGAACAGTGTTTTGGTTTTTTTTTCAGCGAAGCGAACGGAGCCTATATATATCTCTAAAATTCTTCTGCACAGTAGCCTCAAATTTCATTTCTTTTCTCTGGGCTTGTACGACATGTGGAAGTAGACATGGCTGATTGATCATTCGGGTTCTATTTAGAAACAGACAAACAGTGAAACATGTGATGGACTGAATTTTATTTGTAAACGGAAATAAGACACTTGGGTCACGAGACCAGACTCACTACACACCAGTCACGTACGCCCACACCAGCACTACGGAATGTTGCCGCTGGCATGCCCAAAATCCGGCGGCATGCCGGCCATCACCTTCTGCACCGACGGCCTAGCCAGCAGAGCATCCCACCAAGCCTTGACGTGCGGGAACGCGTCCACCACGCCGGCGTACTCGGTGGCCATGAAGTAGCGCATGAAACCGAAGTGGCAGAGGTCGGCGGCGGTGATGTCGTCCCCCGCTAGGTACTTGCAGACTGACAGCCTCGCCTCATACACCGGCAGCAGCTTCCTCAGCTTCTCGAGGTTCTCGTCGATGACGGCCTGGTCGCGGTCGCGCCCGACGTACTGGCCGATGATGCAGTGCCGGATGATGGGCCACAGGGTGGGCTCGATGTTGTGGGCTTCCACCTCCATCCATACATCCACCATTGCTGATCCCTCCAGGTCGCCTTCCTTGACAAGCTCCGGCTTGTACTTGCAAAGAACGTACCGTGCAATGGCGCGTGATTCTGGAATTATATACGAGAAAATGTGATTAGAAATGCGATAGCCGATAGGAGAGAAAATTAAAAGCAATAAACACAACAGGTCAAGATAGCTTTATTACGGTAGAGCGTCAGATCACCGTCCTCCAGAACTGGGATTTCACCGAACGGCTGCACAAGAGAGAACAGTTCGTTACTGCCAGCTAACCAAGCAAATAGTACTCCTATATCTATCTATTCCCAAACTGAAATGGATGCGTACGTACGTTTCTGGCGAGGTGCTATGGGCGGCGGTGGTCGCCGCCGCACCTGCTCATCGGGACGATCTCGTACTCCACGCCGGCCTCCTCGAGGCACACCAGAGCGCGCGCCATCCACGGCGACACGGCCCACCCATACACCTTCATTGGCGCCATTGCTGTGGTCTGAGCTTTGAGATGATCTGGTGCATATATGCGTATGGATAATGGATTTGTACAGCTCCTTGGTCTGGACTACTTTTTCTCCGGTGATGTAAACTATTGCGATGGTGGATTAGTAGATTGGAGGCGGCTTGCTCTCCTGAGTTTGTTATTAGTATGTAGAGGGGTCCGAGCTAGGCGCATTTTCCATCATGTGCGTTTAGTTATATTTTATTGTTATTACTATCGGAACAACCTCAATGGTGGCGGCAAACTCAGGTGCAGGTCCATCTGTATCGTCGTCATTGCTTACGCTCGCAGCGGATGCCAGCTTCTTGCAGGCGAAAGCGAGGACCCAAAATCCCGAATGGACTTGGTATTGGTTTATGCCAGAGAGGTTTTGGTGCCATCCTGACATGCGACTGCGTTTTTTTTAAAAAAAAAAAAATAGTCATGCCACGTTATATACTCAAAGATCACCATGTTAGCTGAGTTGTTGGAGGTCCGCAAATTCAACCTCTAATGTTACGTTGTTCAGTTTACACCATTTATTACTTTTTTTTTTGAAGCAAACAGGATGGGGATCCCCTGCTGGTCTTTTACTGAAAACGGGAGATATTTACAAGAGCAATCTAAAGAAACAAGAAAGAAAACAAAGAGGAAAGAAAAATTATACAAAAGCATTTAGCCATGATTCTATATCAATGAAAAATATTTCTTGTTTGCTCGCAGGATCACCCTGGCAAACTCGTTCTTGAAAGTTTTCTTGCAGTGTGCAAGTGATGGCAGAAAAACTCTGAAAATGATAATATTTCTTGTTGTCCAAATACTCCAACAAAGTAAGATAATAATCTCCATGAAGGAAGGTAAATGTAACTACGATTTCAAGACATCCAGAATAGCATAAGGATGAACTATGTTGACTGGAACTTGCAGATGTAGAAGTCCCCAGCATGCCTGTGCAAAAGGACAATGTAGGCACGGCTGAATGTAGGAAAAGGTATTCCAGTCTTCTGTGGAACTTGTGCATAGAACACAGTCATCTGATTGCAGCGTCATGGTTCACCGTTCCGAGATATTCCTTTGTGCTAAGTCTGTCTTTTAAGACAAGCCAAAAGAAGATCTTGTGCTTGTGTTGATAGGCACATTTTCAAAGCCAATTAAACACTGAGTGGATATCCGAATGGTCAATTAGCACCTTATACACTTCGCTGGCAGAAAAAAATATGTGCGATCCCCAAATATTATTGGGCCCGGGTGAGCCGACCAGTCACCGGGTGAGCCGACTGATCACCGACGTTCTCGCACACACATTATGGCTGGAGGTAGAAGAGGGAGGGAGAACGAAGCTCTGCAGATGAGATGGCAAAACTGAACTCGCTCTCTTTACTGAATTGCAGTGCGAAGATATATATACAACCCTACCCATCTAATCCTAATACACAGACATGCCAGGCTGTCATGCTGCTACAGTGACTAGATGTGACAGCAGGGCTGACTTGGCGCCTGCCCCTGCTATGACTACAGTGCGACAAGGGAGCCTTTCGGCGCCTGCCCCAGCCGCGCGTACAGGGGAGAGCAGTAGATTACTTTACCATTATTCCCCTAATCCTGCTGCTAACTATAGAACCTCCACCATGCCGATCATCTTCTTCAGCTCCGTGAACCGAAGACGGCCGACCAGTTTCGATGAACTCGATGACGGTCTGCCCTCCATCGACACAGTCCCTGAGGAAGTGGAACTTGACGTCGATGTGCTTGCTCCGGTCATGGAGAACCGGATTCTTCGCGAGGGCGATGGCAGGCTGGTTGTCCACCATGAGTGCGGTGGGTTTGCTTCCACACCGGTCAGCTCGCCCAACAGCCGGCGCAACCACACAGCATGGCACGCCGCTGTGGCCGCCGCCACGTACTCTGCCTCGCACGTGGACAGCGCCACCGCCTTCTGTTTCAACGGCAGCCATGAGATTGGAGCCGACCCGAGGAAGACGAGCACGCCAGAGGTGCTCTGCCGTCCGTCGATGTCCCCCACTATATCTGCATCGCTAAACACAGTGAGCTACATCCCACTTCCGCCGGTCTTGGGGAAGACGATCACCTGATCCACCGCCCCCTTGACGTCTGAATAGATGGCTTTGAGCTGTAGATAAGCAACAGTTGAGATAGGAAGATGAAACAAATGTAGGAAACTAGGCAGCTGCTGGACCGTCTGGAATTAGATGGCTTTGTGCTTGTTGAAAGAGTAAAGTTCTAGAAACGAAAACTTCGGTACCTGCTGCCCCTAAAGATCAACCCAGAAATTGCATGTTCAAACATCCTGTATATAGATTGCTGCTAATCCTTTGTAGGAATCTAAAATCTTCAATAAATCCCTCCACCAAAGGGAGCCCTTCAACACATGGTTTGACAGTTTGTCAAAGCGATAATACTTTTCCTAAACAAGGTTTACCCAGGGTATGTTCTCCCTATTAAGGAACTTGTGCCAATGCTTTAAGAGCAGAGCTTCATTTTGGGTCTTCAGTTTTAGGATGCGTAGGCTCCTACCTGTCTTTGGTAGGCATCCCATCTCCCATGCTGCTTTGGGTGGCTTTTTGGAATTTATATCAACTTCTCTTCAAAGATGATAGTGCTTTCGAAACTTAACAACTATTTAATGATTGTCTTTTGCAACCAAAACACGCACATGTGAAAAGTGGGAAAAGTAGTTAGCACCGAGTTTTATGTTAAACGGCCTGCTTGGGATAGAAACAACGAGGTGCTGGCTAGTCTTGGTTCACAGTGAGATATCAAAGGCCAAGCACTACTCCAGAATTGATAATAACTACCGGGACGGATGCTCCATCGCTCCTGAAATTCATGCTGGCAGAGATTAATTGGCAGTGACGTCGGTGGCCTATCACTGCCAGGTTGGCAACCTAGCAGTGATAATAGCACTAGTAGAGAAACGACTTTTGATCCACTTCAAAATTTGGCTTTAGTCCCGGTATTTTTCGTCCCTGGGACTAGAGAAACCTTTAGTCCCGTTTGGTAGCTCCAACCGGGATTAAAGGTCCCTATCCAATGGTTACCGAGGTGTGTCAGAGGCATGTCAGTGCGAGAATCTTTAATCCCGGTTTAAGACGTGAACCCGGACTAAAAGTGTGACTTTTAGTCCCGGTTTGAGACACGAACCTGGACTAAAGGTACCTTTAGTCCCGGTTTATATCTCAAACCGGGATTAAAGGTGTCTCCAAACTGAATTTAAAAGAAAAGCGTATCTTATTTAAGTTAGATGTGTGGTGGTAGGTGAGATGGTAACGCGTACAAGAGTTGAAGTAGGAGGTCATAGGTTTGAATCTCCACAGCTACAACTTTTTTTTTACCCAATAAACACCTCTACTCCCTGTTGAAGGAACCGGGACTAAAAATCAAGACCTTTAGTTTCGATTGCATAGTCCCGGTTCCAAAACCGGGATTAAAGGGGGTTGAGAACCGGAACTACAGCTCGTTTCTCTACTAGTGTAGGAACATCACTGCCGGGTCAAAGCATCACCCAGCAGTGATACTCATAGCTTTCACTGCCTGGTTATATCATAAACTAGCAGTGATATGTTGAGTGTTATTGCCAGTGTAGGTCATGACCCGACAGTGGCACTCATAGCACCACTGTCGGATCAGTGCACACCCGGCACTGCATTGTTGAGTGCCACTGTAGCAGGTAGAATACATCATATATAACTGCACACCAGACAATTCTCATTGCCTCACATTTCTCACAAGGTAGAATACATCATATATAACAACAAAGGTCAAATTAACTTAATAGGTAGCTACATAATGAAGTCCTTACAAATTAAACTAAAGTCTTAGTACTCTTAATTACTCTCTTACACTATTATATTAAACCATTACAATAAAGTGCACTCTGCTCAGTACTGTGGAGCACACCCACTATTCTTTCACATCAGACTACTCATAGCAACCTCATCAAATGACATAGTCCATTTAGCGAAGATCCCCTATTGTGTAGCCAAGCACATCACTTATTTATATCAACCAATGAATTAGTCCATTCTCCCTTGCCTCAAAGGAACGAGCACACAGACTACCATAGAATGAACAAGCTGGAGGCACTGCAAATAGGCTATCAGCTACAGCAAAATTCATATGAGCCTGCAATCCTTTTGTCGTGGTTCTTGAACCTGTATAATACCAGTGGCATGCGTGTTTCTCTGCCACTTGAGTGAGAATGGCTTTGGAAACTACACAAAGCGTACACCGAATCATGAAACTATCCTGCAAGTGGTGTCATGCAACAAATAGAATGTGAGCAATGTTGAATGGAAAAATAAAATATATACGCATGTGAGCACCACTTCCACTATACCACATATGCGTCGTTGTCCCTTGCAGCCAGCTCACTAACTGCTGCCACATCTCCAATGCCCTTGTGACGAGATCCTAACATAGGGACATGTTAAGCCTTGGGATCAAGGGTTCCTGACCGAGAGACGCCCCCGACCGACCCTCCCAGGATCGTCCAAGGGCTTGGGGACTATACCCATAGGGTACGCTCGCACGTACCATCCCGCAAAGGAATCGGGCCAGCCCAAGCACGCCCGCCGCCTCTACTCAGGACTCGGGGGCTCGCCAGAGCCTCAAGCTCCCGATTGACGGAAGCCTGAACCTGATCCTTGGCTCCCTAGCGGTCTTCGACACTAGCCAAGGCCCGGGCTCGAGAGGGGCACCCCGAGACACCAAGGCTTGAGGGGCTCCCCAGCGCTGCCCCACAGGCGCTGCTCTGTCAATCGCTCCTCCGACAGGGTCACGCATGGAGCGTGACGCAAAAAGGAAAACTCCTATGCTGGCTTTAGGGGCTCGGGAACTTCCGGGCGCGCGCGTCAGCCCCTCAAGGCCGGCTGCCTTCGCCACCAAGAAGCCTCCAGAAGGTGCACCTGGTGGAGGCCGTTCCAAGCCGACACAGCTTAACGCCCAACGTGTCAGAACAGAGTAGCCAGGCGATGACCAGAGCTTCTATGGCTCCACAACATCGCCACGGTCTACACTACGCCACCGCAAGACCCTCCTAGATTCCGGCGCATGTAGACCATAGGCTCAACTGCCCCAAACCGTCATGTATCCATCCTATCTCGATATATAAGGGGATGTCGGATCCTAAACGCGGGGAGTATGATTCGAGATAGATCATTCGAGTCCTCACCGTTCAGCTCATGCTCTGCACCAAGAGAAGTGCAACCTAGAGAGGGGCGTTGACATCTCCTCCACTACACACATCGGCTTCCTCCACTCTGACGAGGGGAAAGGCTCCACCGGCGGCGAGGCTTACCGAGGATCAGCAGCGAGCAATCCCCGACCATTGCTCATGAGTAAGGCCTCAATAGCCTGAACCAGGATAAATTGTTGCGTCTCTTTTGTGATTCTTATGTTCTTGAGTCCACCCAAGCCACCGAAGACACGCACTCTAACACCTGACGAACAACAATGCTTGTCGTGGTTTCGACCCCACGACAGCTAGCGCACCAGGTAGAGGAGCGCGTCAAGTGTGATTCCTGCTCTACGATGGCCAGAGCAAGCGGCTGTATGGTCGAGATGGCCGACTAGAGGGGGTGAATAGTCCTTTCTAAAATTAATCGCACCAGCTAATCGAAAACAAATGCGGAATTAAAACTAACGGTCTAGCCAAGACTATACCCATCTATCTAAGTTCACAAGCACCTTATAAAAATCCTATTTAAACAACAAAGGTGTCAGGCTAGCTAGAGCTCACCTAACCAATCTAACTTGCAAGGTCACACGAACCTATACAACTAGTACTTCACACAACCGAGGCAGCTCCTACATAATCTAGTAAGCAAAAGCATAAAGCCACCTAAGCTCACTAGCAATGCTCAATAACAAGGCTACACAAGCCAAATTATAGAGCTCAAAGCACTTAGTTACACAAACTAAGCAATATAACTAACAAGGCTACTCAAGCCAAATTAGTCACGCAAGAAAGCTACTTCTATGCTACACAAGCTAAAAGGTAACTAGCAAGCTACACAAGCCAACTAATTACAAGAGCAACTACACAAGCACACTGTACAAGAAAGTAAATACAAGCTTGTGTAACGGGGACACAAACCAATGGGAAGAACAAAGTTGATATGGTGATTTTTCTCCCGAGGTTCACGTGCTTACCAGCACGCTAGTCCCTGTTGTGTCGACTGCTCACTTGGTGGTTCGGCGGCTAATTGGCATCACCCACCAAGCCCACACGTTGGGTACCGCAAGAACCTACCCACAAGTGAGGGTAGCTCAATGACACACTCTACTAGTGTTGCTCTTCGCGGCACCCGCGGGGTGTGCACGGTACCCCTCACAAATATTTCTCCGGACCACGGCACAATCTTCTTTACATGCTTCAACGGAGACCACCACCAAGCCGTCTAGGAGGTGGCAACCTCCAAGAGTAACAAGCACTACCAGCTTGCAACTCGATCACCTAGTGCCACTCGATGCAATCTCACAATGTAACACACTAGAATCACTCACTCGCAATGGATTCACACTTCTCGCAAGCACAAGTGAGCTAGAGGCTTCTCAAACCAAGCACACACAAGGGCAACACATCCCTAAGGTGCTCAACCTCAGCCAAGCCCGAGATCCAACTCTATTTATAGCCCCCAAGCCAAATAGAGTCGTTGGAGCTAAGTAGCACATTTCTGTGTGGTCATCGGACAATAACGTGCGGGCACCGGACAAGGGGTGACGGTGCCCAACGGTCAAATTTCAACGGCTAGTTCGAGCTCCTGGCATCGGACAGGTAGGGGCAGTGCACCGCCCAGGGCGGTGCCACCGCCACAGGGTGAAGGAGCCCCTGGAAGAAAATAAAAAGAAAGATCTGATTGTGGAGCGAGACACTTCCGTTCCAATTATTGGCTCTAATTAAGATATACTCCGTATAGTTTTCTATGAACAACAGATATCCGTTAGCCAGGTGGCCACAAAGTTATAATAATTATTTAATTATTGAAAGTGTCGATGAGCGTGCCGGGGACCTCCACGGACCACGGACCACATGACGAATTTTATATAATTCATTCAATTCACAGTCCAATCCATCGGAAGCATGGATATGGATACATGGACCTTCACTCCACCGTCGAATAATTATTGGCCAAACAACGGTGCGGGGTAAATAATTGGCCAAACTCAGCTCGTTTTGTGTTGCATATCCTTGATCACCACCACCACGTACCAAGCATAGCAGAGCGTTGACCTCTCCTCGATCGCTGCCACGGGCGAAAGCTGAGCTGAGCAAGCAAAGATGGCGCCGGTGAAGGTGTTCGGATCGGCGGTATTCGCCAACGCGGCGAGGGTTATGGCGTGCCTGGAGGAAGTTGGCCTCGAGTACGAGGTCGTTGAGGTCGATTACACGGCCAAAGAGCACAAGGGGCCCCAACACCTCTCCAAAAACGTACGTAATACAGGGTCTCTTGTCAAGATTTCATCTTCGTCGATGCTTTGACTACTCGAACTACAGTGGAACCTGAGGTCGTTATTTATACGGTATACATGCTGATGCTTACTTGCAGCCGTTCGGCCAAATCCCAGCGTTTCAGGATGGGGACACGATGCTCTTCGGTATGCTCGCAATCCAGTTCAATTCTGCCACAGAAACGCTACGTTTATGCCACAGAAACGCTAGCTTCCTTATTAACTCTTTGAATTTCCAGAGTCCCGAGCAATCGCAAAGTACGTGCTCCGGAAATACTCCAAGCCAGCTCAAGTCGACCTGCTGCGAGAGGGCAACCCGGAGGAAGCCGCGATGGTGGACGTGTGGACGGAGGTTGAGGCGCACACCTACTTACCCGCCATCGCGCCCATCTTCTACGAGTGCGTCGTGTACCCTGCCAGGCTCGGCACCTCGTCCAACCAGAAGGTCGTGGAGGAGAGCCTGGAGAAGCTCAAGAAGGTGCTCGATGTCTACGAGGCAAACCTGTCGAAGAACAAGTACCTCTATCTCGCTGGAGACTTCTTCAGCTTCGCGGACCTCAACCACTTCCCGTACACCTTCTACTTCATGACGACGTCTCATGCGTCTCTCTTCGACTCGTACCCCAGCGTGAAGGCGTGCTGGGGGCGCCTGATGGCACGGCCGTCGGTGAAGAAGATCAGCGACGGTATGGTGCTCAGGGCCTGATATGGTATAAGCGACGGTATGCATGCGCTTGGTTCGTTCCAATAAACTCAGTTGTAACTGGATTGCATGCCTTTATCTGCCAGAGTTATTATGTGCATGTGTATTTGATATTCTTATTATATTATATTAGAGGACATTTGCTATTATAGCTAGTGTTGGCGTCTTTGGCTATACTTTGACTGATACATACATGGCTACGAACAAAGGGGGGGAAAGTGTGGTTGATAAACTAGAAACTTTCGTCTTTTCGATGTCTTCTCCCAGTAAATCCATGGTGGTGTTGTGCATCAGTTTGACTTTGTTTCATTTAAGTACTCCATTCTTTCTCGTTTCAAAAAATAGTACTCCATTCTTTCTAAATTATAAGTACTCCACACTATTACAGGAATCAATTTGCGCAGCGTAGCCAAAATGGGCTCCGTGGCGGGCACCTCCTTTGCCCGCCACGGTTAACCGGTGGCCGGCCAGCGAGGCCGACCACCGAGGCGCCCGCTGCGGGAAAAGGATTTACTGCGGCGGGCCACCTTACTTGCCCGCTGCAGGAAATCGTTATTTACCGCGGCGGGCGGTATGAATCGCCCGCCGCGGTTAATACGATTTATCGTGGCGGGCTATTTAAACTGTCCGCCGCGGTAAAGAGTTGATTTACCGAGGCGGACGCTTTATCTTGCCCGCCGCGGTAAAGCCTATACAAATACACAACACCACCCCTTCATCTTCTCCACGGGTCTTCCTCTCTCAAACTCATGGGGGAGGCTTTGCCCTAAAATTTGAGAAAACTTTTGATTTGAGTTGAAGGGCTTGGATTTGAGGGAGGAGGACATCATAAGAGGTTCATAAAGGCTCTCCCTCTCTCCTTCCATCCTCTTTCTCTATTTCCATCACCTAGAGTTCTCTCTAGATCTAGATCTAGATCAATTTTAATGGAAAAAATGATGTCATGTATTTCTTTAACTTTAGATTCATCATAGATGCATGTTTCATCTTTCACATCGTCATTTCCTCTCTTGTTCATGATTTTGGACGTAAAAATCATCAATTTCTCCTAATTCTTCTTTATTTAATGTTGATTGTGACGGATAATGTTCGCAGGTATGATGGATAGGTCGGAATGGATGTACCGGATCAATAGAGTGAATGATCCGCGGTACCTCTTTGAATTAAGGAAGTTTATTGCTGCTGGTAAAGCTCACCGTGAGAGACTGAAGCGGATGACAACCATATGTCCATGTTCTCGTTGCAAGAACCTGAAAGCCCACCGAGACAGCGAGGTGCAAACTCATTTGATCATGTATGGTTTCGTCGATTTACCGTGGCCTCTAGGCCGCGGCGGACGGCTTTGCCCGCCGCGGGAAACCGAAAACGCCCGCCTTCAGTAAAGTTTGCGTAGTAGTGTCCATCCGTTGAAAATGATAAGTTCTTTTAGCTTTTCTAAGTCCGTAGCTTTTTATATATATATCTAAATATATTGTATATCTAGATGCATAAAAAAAATTATACTTAAAAAAACCAAAACGATTTATAATTTAAAACGAAGAGAGCACTAGTATGTCCTCTTATTGCATGTTTGCCACATTTACAAGAAATCCACTAGCCAAGTGACGTGACGACTGGGCTTTTGCTTTTTGAAAGACTTTATTAAAGACAAGACAAATATAGTTTTCTCCTCCTATCTCTGACAATTCACGTGGGTAAATCCACATTTGCATAGACGGACCTAACGCCTGACTCTGTAAATGAAATACTTTTTTTTAGAAAATCCCCAGCCTTGATAGCCCACCAAGCTCGAGTCACCGCTGACACTCCCCACCAAGCCTATGCCACCATCGATGCTGCTTCATAGAACTAGCCATGGAGACACTACTGCTCCATAGAAATCGCGGTGAAGACGCTGCTCCGTATAAATTAACATCGAGACTCGCCGACACCCCTGACGCTGCTGATGAGTTCAATCTAGCTGGAGAGGACGAGACTAAATTGACCGTCGAATCAATCCATTACATCTAGAGATAAAGAAAGAGAGAGATAGAGTGAGTGAGAGAGAGGGTGACACTAGTAGAGAGAGGACTCTCGGTTCAGCAGATTAGTCTCCGTTAGAATTGGACCCGGGACTAGTGTGAGCATTACTCTCGGGTCCAAGTTTCTTGGGTGTCACCGGACTAAAGGGTCTATATTAGTCCCGGTTGATAACACCAACCCGGACTAAAAGTAGACCCTTTAATTCCGGTTGGTATTACCAACCCGGACTAAAGGTCCTTTTAGTCCCAAAGCCCTCCGATGAGTTAGTTCAAAAGGAAAGCATCCCACCAAAAGTCACATCTGCTGTGTATGTGGAGTGGAAAGGTACGTTCGAGGCAATACATGAGGTCTTGGATTCGAATCTCATGCGAGGCACGGAGGTGGGAGACATTATTTTTTTATTATCCTCAGAGGACCTTTAGTCCTGGTTCAAGGCAACCGGGATTAAAAAGTTATGCTCTTTAGTGCTGGATTCGTAGTCCCGGTTGGAAAACCAGGACTAAAACCCGTTTCCAACCTGAACTAAAGTACATCTATCCACTAGTGTGAGATCAGAATTGACATCAGTGCCCCGTTTCCATCCTGAACTAAAGTACATCTATCCACTAGTGTGAGATCAGAACTGACATCAGTGCCGATCCAATGCTATCAGCACTAGTCGGGACAAGTAGCCTGCACGGCGATGTCAGAATGGGAGTAGTATGCCAATGCTGCCACCCGCGGCCACGGAAGACGTGCCAAGCTCCCTCATCACCGCCAATGGAAGGGGAGGCTCGACCGCCACCCCCTACGTAGTTGGAAGTTGAGCATGGCCCCACGCCTCCACGATCCACTCTGCCCCCACCTTATCTGATTGTTCAGGTGACACCTCGGCCCAGTAGACGTCCCTAGTCACACAACATCGATGGATCCAAAAGAACCGAAGGGAATGGAGGGAGTAGCGAATAATAATGCTAAGGGTCTCATGTTGGAGTGGTAGTTGAGAGGGAGGGGTGCAGGTAAGACTTAAAGGTTACAATTTGGTTATTAGGCCAGCTGTGGGCTTGGTTTTAGTAGTAGAGGTAGGAGTGCTTAGAGATCCGTCGTGAAAAATAGAGCCTATTTTCGGACATAGGACTCTTAAGATTTTTCCGTCTTTTTAATTAATTGCTAGAGATATTGCTATCTCCTAAAATGGTCGGCTACCTTTAAAATTTACTACTACGAATTTTGAAGACATAAATTTTTGGCAAAGTTTGCCGTGGGACACTAGAGAAACATGTAATTGGCCAGTACACACTGCCAGACTAAGAATTTACCAAAACACACTGCAGATTTATGGTTGTTTGACAAAAGACACCGGACTCATTATTTTATTTATTTCTCAGTTTTGGGGAGAGAGAAGGTGGTGGAAACGTCTTCTTTGCTCTCATCTTCAACCTCCGTCCCTTCGTTGATTATTTGCCTTAACACACTAGCGCCGCTGATTTGGTCGTTCATGGACCGGCGAGATCTCTCGACTTGCCGCCCGGGTCCGCCACCTCTTATGATCTACACCTTCGACGGTTTCTTGGATCGTACCTTCCCCGTGGCAGCAAAGAGGCTGGAGAGACGGAACAGAGAGGAAGCGTTCCATCCCACCTATGACCCACAGGAAGCGGTGGCCGCGCCAAGGAGCACCGCCCCCACGCCGAGGCGCCACGAGTTGCTGCGTCCTGTGCCTCTCGCCGCCGCGAGCTGCTGCGGCCTGAGCTTGGCTGCATGGCGCCACGAGCTGCTGCACCCTTTGCCCCGCCCCGCCGTGAGCTGCTGCGGCTTGAGCCTGGCCGCGAGCCCCCGCGAGCTGTTGGCCCCGCGCGGCCGCAAGCTGCTATGACGCACGGCGCCGCGGCTTGTGCCTAGCTGCACGCCCCCGCGAGCTGCTAGCCCCGCAAGTTGCTGCTCCCTACATTGCCTCTGCGCCTGCTCGGCCCGCGCCCTCTCCAAGCCCATCCCCAACTCGTCAGCGGCGGTCATGGGGCTTCCCAGCTCCTGTAGCTCCAGTTATGGTCACGCGGCGGAGCATGGTGTGGCAAGCGCGGGAAAATAGAGCTGAGGCACCGGCGGCCGGCACCGTCGAGCGTGGGGAGGAAGGTGTGGCTGCAATCAAGATCGCCACCGGCTAGAGGTCGAAGACAAGGGTAAAAAGATATTTCCCCCATCTTCCCTTCCAAAAACTGAGAAATAAATAAAATAATCTATGCGGTGTCTTTTGGCAAACAACCACAAATTTACAATGTGTTTTGGCAAATTCTCAGTATGGCATCGTGTATTGAGTAATTATATGTTTTTTTAGTGTCTCACGGCAAAATTTACCTAAATTTTTGGGACCATCTGTAAATAAAAGATGTTATCTTCTAAAATCGTTCTTTTAGTGACGTTCGGTTATGGACAAACAAGTCGACGTGTTTCTTTTAAGTCAAACTTCTTACCCTCTTTTTCAGACAAGTTAAAGGTCGCTGCCTATGCAACATTGATTAGGGTTAAGGTAACCACTCCCACCAAGTTCGCACCTAAATATTTAAACTCGGTCTATGCCCATTTATATTATTATTATTCAAGTAGATGATCCAAAATATTGTTAATGTACGGTTTCGTTCCACTGGCTGTCAGACTAGAATATTGACGTTCGAATAAAACAAATGATCCAACAAATCAGAAGCTGACTTGATCTGTAGGAATAAAGTATGTATCTGTGTTGTCTAATTTATGATGTTGCTAATCAAATCATTCTAACCTAAACAATCTTCACATAATTATCATGATCAATCTTGGAAACAGATGCAAACAGCAGAGACATACTTCTTATGGACCGTGAGGTGTGGGAATTTTTGACGTGGCATACTCTTTTTTTTATAGTAGATGAGTGCCCGTGCGTTGCAACGGGTACAACACAAATTGAATGAGATGTTTGTTAGCCAAGTCAAAATCAAGAATATATCAATTCAATTTTTCACGTGTATTATACCATGATAATGTCTAGAAACACATTCATTGTCGTAATGAATCTGAAATAAAAGTTAGGTTTGATATTGTTATCTAAAAGTTACGATAAACATCAGTTGCCTCAAATGCTGAAAATTTATTGCTAGGCATTGAATTGAATTTATCCATGCTCTGCCTTGCCAAGACATATATACTCGGACTTACAATATCCTGGCCCGCATGAGGTATGGCAATAATTCATTTTTGGGGAAAAAAATATTTGTTGTCAACACGCAACGCGAAGGACGACGAACGAGATTTGGATCACGATCATGATCATTGTGTGGTGATATTCCATTTTTTACTTGCCTTCTAGTGTCTCCATGCGGTGATTATTTGCCTACCAGTGATTCCGTGAGTTTTATTCTATTTTATTTACTTGCGTTCTAGTGTCTCCATACGGTAATTATTTGTCTATCAGATATGGACTGCATGAGATGCGGTGATTATTTGTCTGCCGGATATGGATCGCATGAGTGTTTTGATCCTGCCGGATAGATGTTGACAATCCGTATGTTTTAGTTGTATAAGAGATAAGAGATAAGAGATAGAGATTGTTTTCCAGTGTCTCAATGCGGTGATTATTTGTCTGCCGGTAATTCTATAAGTTTTATTCCATTTTATTTACTTGCCTTCCTGTGTCTCCATGTGGTGATTATTTGCCTGCCGGATGTAGATCGTATGAGATACGATAATTATTTACCTGCCGGATATAGACTGCATGAGTGTTTTGGTCCTACCGGATAGATGTTGACAATCCTTATATTTTAGTTATAGAGATAGAGATTTGATTATCTTGTAATAAACTATAGCTATAAAATCATACAACTTGTGAATCTATACGATTCTAATGTTAATATATACACTAAATACTTTAGTCGGAGTTTGAAAACTTTAACAAAATTTGTCCAAAAACTTAAATTGACTACTATATAGCCAAAACCAAAAGAGTCTTTAGCTGACTTTAGTGGCGTGACACTTCTTATATCCTGAGTTCAACTACCCATACAATCCTGAGGAACTATCTTTTATCCCAGCGATGCATCTTCGCAAGCCAAGTTTTAGTTGGGGACGCTTATGGGCCACCACTGGTCGCAAGGACATATTTTGTTCTGAGAACGGTTAAGGAGCTCAATAAATTATCTCAGCTGCTACCATACCAGAATAAGAAGGACGGGCCTGGTGTAAGTGGTAGAGTTTTACCGTATGTGACCGGAAGATCCTATGTTCGAGTCGCGATCTCCTCACAATTGCACAGACGAGAATAAGGCTTGTCACTAACACTCTTCCCTAAACCCCATATAGAGCGGGAGCTCTCTGCATTTGTTACGCCCTTTACCATACCGAAATAAATAGGCTATCTGTGCTACCCATCTAGTAAAATCCACAGCGGTTATCCCAGCGATGCATCTTCCCAAGTCAAGTTTTAGTTGGGGACGCTTATAGGCCGCCATTCGTCGCATGGACATATTGTTCTGCGAATGGTTAAGGAGCTCAATAAATTATCTCAGCTGCTACCATACCGGAATAAACAGGCTATCTGCGCTACTCATCTAGTAAAATCCACAGCGGTTTTCCCCAACCTACAGTAGTCGTTGTATCCTCCGCCACCTCCTTTTCCGAATCACCCTCCACCACAGAATCAGTTCAATGCTCAATTCAATCAGAGAGGCCAAGGGGGTCAGCCAAGAGGGGCACGGCAGGGAAATAGAGGAACACAACCTCAGCAGCATAGGGGGGCAAACCAGTCTCAGCACCAGATTCAGCAAGAGTAAGCTGAGGGATCCCAAAATCAAACTTAGCAGAAGACTCCCAACTTGCAAAATCAGGGAGAACAGATGGTGGATAATGAAGGTGAGAAAGCTCTGGGGGGCAATTCCTTGTATATCTGCTATAACTGCCGGAGCCTGGTTAGTTTAATGCTTCATGTACCAAACCCAGAGTTTGTTTTGTGTGCTTTAGAAAGGATCACATTGCAGATAGGTGCCCCAAGTGGAAGGATACTCATATGGCAGTGCAGTATATGGCAAGTGCAAACAAGGGTTTAGATTTCTTTCATGTTGTAGAGGAAAACGAAGACAGATTCAAACTTTGAACAGGATTTGGCAACTATGGTATATTCACTATAGAGGAGGCGGAGATGGACCAAGACAACATTGTTAAGAACTTGAGAGCATTGTTTGCTAGAGAATGGAATTGGCAGCCGAAGAAGCTTGATGAGTTTAGTTTTCTAGTGAGATTCCCTTCTGAAAAGAAGTGGAGAGCTTTGTCATCAATAAGGTGTCCTATTTCTACTTGCAGAATGGAACTGTCGTGGCATCTCTGAAGGTGTGGAATGGAAACATTGAGCCTATTGGCTATCTCAGTGAAGTTTGGGTCTAGTTGAGGGGAATACCACCAAAATGGTGTGACTGGAAAACTTTAAGATAGGTGGCATCAACTTTGGGTAAGCTGGTAGAGATAGACTGGTGATCTCTGTTTGGATTTTTTTTTTTTTTTTTTTTTTTTTGCCATGATTAGGATCAATGTCAAGTGCAGTAAAGTACCAAGACAGAAAATTATGGAGATGGCTGATGATATCTACTTGTTTAACTTCAAGAAGGAGAAAATGTCGTAATTTGGAACGTACGGAGTATCTCTTATCAATTCCTCACCAGAATCCGGTAACATTCTAACTGTTTGGTAAAACTTCGTATAATCCGCTCTAAGGAAGTTAGAAGCTGACTAAACAAGCCCTAAACATCCTTTAACTGCCACCATGTCCCATGTAATCAGGCATATGACACTCAGGGAATATTTCTCCTAATATCCCTATTCTAGTACACGATAAACGGTATCTACTACAGTCCTATATCATCTATTTTTTAGCCATCTAGGCGTTTTGCGATAGAGATATAAATGATAACCTGAAATATATGGAGTTTAACCTTTTAAAATCATAGATGTGTTAGTTTTACCTTTCAGGAAATTCAATTTCCGAGTTATGTTATGTCACTGATGAGTTAGCTTTATCTATTAGGAAATTCAATTTCCCAGTCATGTTATGTCACTGATGTGAGGTATACTATAAACTATGACCCGAGTAACAGATCACGGAACGCAGGTCTCCACATGTCCTTTCCTTAGAACTAGATAATGAAGTTGGAAGGTGAGTAGTTTACCTCACTGGTATCATAGAGGCAATCATGATCTGAGTAGGAGACCAACTACAGTGAACTCAACACATACATCTTACCAAGAACAGGTCCTCCGAAAGATTCAATCTCTTTATTTCTTGTGGATTCGTCTCTACCAAATCGGTACTTTTAATTCAGCTCGGTGCGCGCTAACATTACTTTTAAACTAGAATAGCAGCAGAGTCTTGGTAGTTCACATATGTCCAGTTGTCAAGTCCTTGGTAGTTCACATCTGTCCTCCTCCACTACTTGTATCAGCAGCCACTGCTAGTCTGCTACATGGATTTGCCACTCGCTTATATAGAGCATAGAGGAAGCTTCTGCCCAGCATTCCTCGCAGCCTCTACTGCAGTAGTCATCAGTCATTCATTCATCACCCACAACCACAATCATCTAAATAAAGGCTAGTGAATTGCATTAAACAAAGCTGACGAGCATGGTGCCGCCGGTGAAGATATTCGGGCACCCGATGTCGACGAACGTGGCGCGGGTGTTGGTGTGCCTAGAGGAGGTCGGCGCTGAGTATGAGCTGGTGACCATCGACTTCCTCGCCGGCGAGCACGAAGTTCCTGACCACGTCGCGCGAAATGTAATAACCCGATTCCCTAATTTCCTTTAAAACTCGCATACTTCTTTACTATGTCCAGTGTCTTATTAGTTTGCTCAATATTAGTAGTGGAAATACAGTGTAGTCGAAACAGGGTAATAATGACTGTACGTACCTAATTACGAGAACGTTTTCCTGCAGCCGTTTGGGAAGATCCCTGCTCTGCAAGATGGCGACCTTATCCTGTTTGGTAAGTTATTAGCTAGCATCATCAAGCGGTTGCCTGTAGATACTTCGGACTCTCTGCACAGTTTTCACCAATCAAACGATGATCGCTGAACTCGTGAGTTTTCAGAGTCGCGCGCAATTGCGAAGTACATCCTCCGCAAGTTCAAGTCAAGTGAGGTGGACCTTATCCTGTATGGGCAGAGGTCGAGGCGCAGCAGTATTACCCTGCCCTCTCGCCCGTAGTGTTCGAGTGCATCATCTTCCCCGTCATGCGCGGCACCACCACCGACCAGAAGGTCGTGGACGAGAGCCTGGACAAGCTGAAGAAGCTGCTAGAGGTGTACGAGGCGCGCCTGTCGGAGCACAAGTATCTGGCCGGGGATTTCTTCAGCTTCGCGGACCTCAACCATTTCCCCTTCACCTTCTACTTCATGGCCACGCCGTACGCATCCGTGTTCGACGCGTACCCTCGCGTGAAGGCGTGGTGGCAGAGCATCATGTCCAGGCCGTCCATCAAGAAGATAGCTGCAAATATGCCGACCAAGTTTTAGGTCGGTTTCGCATCTGTTGATCATGAAATAAATCAATTATGCTTCGTGTGGATAAAAGAGTACTGTGTTCTTCTTCTTCCGTACGTGTATTTAGTTTTTAACGTGGCGGGCCTCGTAAATCTGTTGTCGAATCTGTACACTATCTTGTTGTGTCAACAAACTAGCAGTTCATAGAGAGTGAATAGCAGCTTCTGGAGCACGAAAAGCCTGATCACGTCAACTTGGCGAATACGCTCCACGGGATGTGGCCGCTGGGGCGGCCTCTCCGGCCCCGGTGCCACCATCGCTGCTGACATCCTAGCTGCGGTGATTGCCTCCCCTGCTCATCTCTCCTACTTGTCTCCACTTCTCCCCTGTCCTCTGTTGGTTCTCTTTGATCTCCATTTTGGCTATGGCTCTTCCTAGCCTTGACTTCTCCCTGGGTCCGCCTGGTATGCATGACCATTGACCACCGCCGCTTGTGCCTTCACTGGTGGAACTTCCGGCCCAAGGCCATTATCCATTTTCTTTATACGTATAAGGGAGGAGAGCTGCCGATTATATTAAAAAAAAGAATAAATCTAGACCGGATAAACAGCATAACGACGACAACAATCTGTGACAACTACTAAACCAACGTAAACCACCTAGAACAACTCCAGAAAAGGATTGGGGCCTCTGGGAAACACGCAACACAACACCTTCAAAGCACAACTCAAACAACCCAAACAAACAATTACAACTGGGAAAAGTCTAACGAAGAGGTAAAGAAATCCCCGCCACAAGGTCCCAAAAAGCACGTCCTTTCGCATGCACAAGTGAGCTGAGGACGTCCGGTGGCAGTAGTTGCTTCAAACATTCTGCATAGCCCTTGATTGCATCCTCATCAAGCTTCCCATCATTCCCGATAATGCCCAAATTCCTTAGTATGTTGCGTTTTGCAAGCCGGGTACCTGGACGAAGTGACGATTTGTCAAAAGATTTACGCCTATGTGTCATGATTGGCAAGACGAGGAGGCAACGCCTTAAGTCTACAGTTAGTGGCTAGTATATAGCAATAGGCCGAATTATTATGTTTTTGCTTTAATGGATGGCTAGGCTATTGGGCCAGGCCCATTAGTGTTTGTAACACCCCTTATATATATGAGGGAGACACTTAATGAGAAACTAAGCAGGTTTAGGGTTAATCCCTTATTTCTTCTCCCTTCCCCTCTCTTCCCTGCGCCGCCTCTCTCCCTCTCCTCTCCTCTGCGCCGCCCCCTCCTCTTTCCCTGCCTTCCCCTGCCAGGCCGTCACCCAGCCATCCAGGCTAGCGCCCTAGTAGCCGGCCGCCGCCGCTAACACTGGCCAAGCCGCCGCCCTGCATGTCACTACCGCCCTCAGCCACTCCCAGCAGTCGTTGGGAATAATTGACGTGTTACATCTGGTATCCGGAGCCACGTCGTGATCAACTCCATGGAGAGCATCCGCGATGTCACCGATCGTTGGGCAAAGATATTCAATTTTTTTCTCCAATCAGGTGGAAGAACAGAAGTATGTGCCACCCTCAAAACGGTCCATACTACTGACTCCTCCACTGGACCAAAATCTGCCTTCCCACCCAGAACCGATCAACATAGTGCAGACAACTTCACTGGAGGCACTTCTCCAACGGCAGTTCAACAAGGATTCCTAGAAAAGAGATCAACAACAATCGAGGCGATCATCAAACTCCCATAAATTATCATTCCCTGAATACAACGGGAACGATGAACCGTCACAAGGGCTCTACAAACGCAACAATTTTTTTGCTGCCCAGAATACCAAGGAGGAGGAACCAATATAGCTAGCGGCATTTTATCTGCACGGCAACGCCCTAACTTGGTTCATTAGATGGGAGCAGGAAATAGGGCATCCAACATGGCCTCAATTTTCTCACGCTATCAACACGCACTTCGGTCCACCAATAGACCACAACCACCTCAGCGACCTTACTTGCACCTATCAGACCGGAGCATTTGATGACTATACAAATGAATTCCTCCTCACACTGACCAAGGTAACAGGGTTGTCTACTGCTTGGCAAGTCATGCATTATACTGTAGGATTGGCATCAACGCTGCAAATAGATATACAGCTTCAGCAACCACCAGATCTAGAATCAGCGATAGCAATGGCTCGTAAACTCTATATATCATGCAAACGAAAAGAACATTCACACTCCTTACAGCATGAAGCCCAGGACATTCAGATATCACTCAACGCCGTCAAAGGGATCACCACCAGCCAAACTATGCAGGTATATATTTCCGTCAACGGCCGTGTTTACCTAGCATTACTGGATTCCGGGTCTACACACAACTTCATTGACTCAGACACAGCAGATGACCTCCAGATAACATGGACAAATGCACCAAATTCTCTATCAGTGACAGTAGCAAACGGAGATCGAATTTCTAATGTGGGCATATACAATAATCTCAGAGTGCAGATTGAGACTGAAATCTTCAACATTGACTGTTACAGCATCAAATTGGGAGGCTATGACTTCGTGCTAGGCGTTACTTGGCTGAGCTCACTTGGTCCAATCACCTGGGATTTCAACAACCTCACTATGAAATTTTGGTGCCATGGACGTCGAATCATTTGGACCAGCTTTGGCAAATCGTGCCCTGATCAACCATGGATTCACACACTCAGTCCTACAGCAACAATGGAGGCACCACTGACTACTTTTTCACATCTCTTTTGGGATCATCAAGGGCTGCCACCTCAATGCCGATATGATCACCGAATTCATCTCAAGGACCCGAGTAAACCTATAGCTGTTAGACCTTACTACTACCTGCAACTCCAAAAAACTAAATTAGAGAGATAGTGCCATGATATGCTGACTCAGGGAATCATAAGGTACATCACTTCTCCGTTCTCATCACTAGTAATACTTGTAAAAAATAGGATGGATCATGGCACTTTTGCGTGGATTACCGAGCCCTCAACGACAACACTCTCAAGGATAAATTCCCAATACCGGTCATCGATATGCTACTCGATGATTTGGAAGGGGCCAAATTCTTCACTAAATTAGACCTCCGCTCCGGGTATAACCAAGTACGCATGCATTCAGATGATATTGAGAAAATAGCTTTCCAGACCCATCATGGCCATTTTGAGTTCCTGGTTATGCCATTCGGTTTGTGCAATGCTCCTTCTACATTTCAAGCACTTATGAATGATATATTGGGTCCCTACCTTCGAAAGTTTGTCTTGGTTTTCTTCCATGACATCTTAATTTACAGAAAAACTTGGGAGCAACATCTGGAGCACATCCAACAAGTATTCACAATTCTTCAATCGAGTGCAGTATTTCTCAAAAAATCTAAATGTTCATTTGGCCAAACCACGGTGGGATATTTAGGCCACATTATATCAGATTAGGGAGTGGCAGTCGACCTAGAGAAAATACAGGCTATCGCCTCTTGGCCCCATCTGAAAACAATGAAATAGCTCAAATGATTTTTTAGGATTGGCAGGATACTACAGAAAATTCATCAAAGATTTTGGAACCATTGCTAGACCTCTCATGCAGCTATTAAGAAAGGACTGTTTCAGGTGGACAGAATTGGCAACAACAGCATTCAAGCAACTCAAATGTGTTCTCTCTACAGAACCAGTACTCCAACTACCTGACTTTCATAAACCGTTTATTGTGGAGTGTGATGCTTCTTCTATGGGATTTGGCGCGGTGCTGCATCAGGGAGCAAGACCAACAGCTTTCTTCAGTCGCATGATTACCCCACGACATGCTAAATTAGCTGCTTATGAAAGAGAATTAATTGGTCTAGTGACAGCAGTTAAGCATTGGAGACCTTACCTATGGGGCCATACATTTATAATCAGGTCAGATCATTAGAGCTTGATGTACATACTGGACCAACGACTATCGACAATTCCACAACATCAATGGGTGAGTAAATTATTGGGATATGACTTCTCAGTTGAATATAAACCGGGCAGACACCATATAGTGGCCGATGGTTTGTCCCGGAGGGAGACCACAGAACCATCACTAAATGCATTATCAGAGATCCAATTCGTGATATTCAACCAGCTCAAAGAAGAAGCGTCGACCAATGTGGAGGCCACTGAAATTGTTGCTGCCATCACCAAAGGGCACCTTTCCCCATCTTGGAAATTGGAGGAATACTTTATAAAAAGCGGGTACACATTCCTGCATCCTCCCCAATTCTTCACGATATACTTCACCCTATTCATGATGCTACTCATGAAGAATCGAAAAAAACACTCCATAGATTCCGACTGACTTTTCACACTGCCAAAGCTAAGTAGACAATTCAACAATTTGTCAGAAATTGCATGATATGCCAGCGCAACAAGACTGAACACCTTCATCCAGCTAGATTAGATCAGATTGGGGAAGATATATCCATGGATTTTATTGAGGCCTTACCAAAGGTGGCAGGTAAAACAGTCATTCTAACAGTGGTGGATCATTTATCCAAATACGCTGACTTCATCCCTCTAGCACACCCGTACTCAGCAACCACAGTGTCTCAACCTTCTTCTCAGACATAGTTCGGCACCATGGAGGAGGCAACGGCTTAAGTCTACAGTTTGTGGCTAGTAAATGGCAATAGGCCGAATTGTTATGTTTTAGCTTTAATAGATGGTTAGTCTATTGGGCTAGGTCTATTAGTGATTGTAACCTCCCTTATAAATATGAGGGAGACACCTAATGAGAAACTAAGTAGGTTTAGGGTTAATCCCTTATCTCTTCCCCCTTCCCCTCTCTTCCCTTTGCCGCCTCTTTCGCTCTCCTCTCCTCTGCGCCGCCCCCTCCTGTCTCCTCTGGACCACCGCTGCCTTCCCCTGCCAGGCCATCACCCAGCCATCCGGGCTAGCGCCCCTAGCAACGGGTTGCCGCCAACAACACTAGCCAAGCCGCCGCCCAGCACATCACCGCCGCCCTCAGCCACTCCCAGTAGTCGTTGGGAATAATCGACGTGTTACACTATGTCTTT